TAAATATGGACACCAATGCCATTTAACCTAATTTAAGAGAAAAGGAATCAAACCCTTCTCCACTGAGGGTTGCATGCTACTGCATTTAAATCAATACATTGGCTAGATGATAAAGAGCTGCCATTACAGGCAGCACTTGTAAATGCTGGCAGCACTTTGAGAGCGGGTCTGAATGGAGCCATGTGTAAACTGCTATGAAACATTTGTATAGTGTGTTTCATTTTTTAATGTGTGATTAAATAAAAAAAAAAATTAAATGATTTCTGTACAAGTTGCATTTGGTTTTATTGTTTTAAGTTTCACTACTTATCTTTCTAAATGTAAATAAAAGGTATAATGATTATGAAAGCTACAAGCAGTTTGTTAGTTTTGCTTTCTTTTTTACTTCTGCTTCTCAGGGACTTCAAACAAAGCACCTCTTATTCACTAGATTGAAACATTACAGGAGTTTTCATCTCTTAATCAAATTATGTTTGTATATGCTTCTGGTCAGGGGGTAGGTCTGTGCTTTGAGGAAGTGTGTATTTAACTGTCTGCAGATTTTTCAAAATATGCTGAGAGAAGAGCAGATGCTTAGGAACTGTACAAGAAGCTTGGCACTGGAGTTCAGAATTGGTAAAACACTCTTAACTCATCACCTACAGGTCTTCAAAGGTACAATGACTGTCTAAGATTAATCTGAATAATTAAGCTGTTTTGGGGAATAGCTTAGGTCTTTATTTTGGATGGACATATCCAGTCAGAGAATGGTTCTTATTTAACTAGGTTATTTAAATGGGAATTAAATACATTTGTATGAACCTCAGTATGTACATATTAAAAGCAACTTATATTTAGTTGAACTCTGCCTTTTAACGCTTGTAGCATTGTCTTTTTAAACCTGCATGCTGTTGTGGTCTTTGGTGCTTCATGATGTGGAAAGCTGAGTGGGGGCAAGGGGAGGGCTGCAGCCATAGAAAATAACCTCAGTCCCTAATGTAAATATTTTGCTTATCATACATCAGATTTACAAATGTAAAAAAAATTATTTTTGCAATCAGTACCAAAGGGCTGCCATTGTTGCATAGTTTGATTTTGCTGCTGTACCTCCCAAGGGGAAGCCATCATTGACTGCTGGAAAGTTTCCTTAAAAAAAAAAAAAATTAGGTTTTTTCCCTTATTCTTTTTAGTATGTGGAAGAAACTGCCTTGGCAGTTGGATGTGAAGCAGTTAAGTTTGTACAACTGTTCTGATTTTTTTTTT